TATATTATATATCTAATATATATATTAGAGACAGGGTCTTACTGATTTGCTTAGGTCCTACTCAGTTGCTGAGGATGGATTTTAACTTGCAATCCTCCTGCCTCCCCCTCCTGAGCCTCTGGGATTACAAGCACATGCCACCACACCCAGCTCAATTTTTGTTTAATTTCTAAGCAAACAGAAAATCAAAACCACTAAAAAAATTACAATTACAATTGAATATTTCCATTTAAAGATGGAAGAATGCAGCCATTGCACTGATTTCCTATCTTTTGAACCCCTAGGAGAACAACAAATATGAATTAAAAAAAAGAGAAGCCTTTAGGATCAACAAAAGTAGGCAAATTATTCCAAATCAAACATGTAACTTTGAAGATTATTTGCTAAATGTAAAATCTGGACCAAATATAGGGAAAACATCAAATTAAATGTAAACATCTACAAACCTCATTGTGTGCACTGGCTACTTAAAATAGTATAGAGTCCTGAAAAAATACAATTGATGATTCCTTATCTACAATAATGAGATCTGGGGGCATTAAATAGACCACTATTATATTCACTTAGGTGTCCCCAATCCACATTGATGGTGCTGCTTAGAAGAGACAACCCTATTCATACCATTTATTTTTGACCAAGGTCCGTTTATTTTTCAATAATGTCATGATTTAGCAGTACCACTCTCTTTTCCTTTAAAGAGGAATGTATGCATTTTGTATTATAACAAACATGTAGTACAATCTACTCAACGAATACATATTCTTCTCAAGTGCACATGGAACACTGTCCAGTTAGATTATATTTAGACACAAAAGTTGTAAGACATTTTTAAAAACTAAAATTAACCCAAGTTTCTTCCATGACCACACTGGAATGAAATTAAAAATCAATTACGGAAGAAAATCTATAAAATTCACAAATATATGGAAACAACACACTCTTAAATAGCCAATGGATCAAAAAGGAAATCACAAAAAAACTGAATGAACAAAAATACAAGATATCAAAATTTATGAGATAAAATAAAAACAGTACAAGAGGCTATAAGTGCCTACATTAGAAAATAAAGATCTCATATTAATAAGATAACCTTCTACTTTGAGGAACTAGTTAAAAAAGAAAAGGGCAAACTAAGCCAGAAATTTTACATGTTACATTTTCCATTCACCAATTACAATGCAAAAAATAAATAAGGCCCTAAAACTCATCCAATAATTTAAAAACAAAAAGCAATTTCTGCTTAATTCCTTATCAAATAGGATGTCAAAATCACTGTTTTATATACATTTGTTACAGCACTAAGTGCCTCTACTGCTAAATCATGACATTACTAAAAACTCCACTATCCTTGATCAAAATTTTAAAAATGAAATGTTAGAGATAAATGAAATAGAAAATTAAAAATAGAATAAATAAAACCAATAATTGGTTTTTTGAAAAAAATCATCAAAATTGACAAACCTTTGGAATAACCAAATTTAAGAGATAGTCTACTAAATACTTGATCAGGCAGGACTCTTCAAAACTGCAAGGGTCATGAATAATAAGGAGAGAAAGCGTCACAGATTGGAAGAGACTAGGAGATACAATGAGTAAATGCAATGTGTGTTCTAGATTGAATCATGGAAATGAAAAAGGCTATTAGGGATAAAAATGGTAAAAATCAAAATAAAATCTGTAGTTAATAATATATTACTACTCAAAATTTCCTAGTTTTGATCAATGTACAATCATTAATGATATTAATGTTAGGAGAAGCTAGATAGTGTATATGGGAGCTGTCAATCATATATTTGCAACTTTTATGTACATTTAATATCATTCCAAAGTTGAAAGTTTTGTTTACTAGAAAAAATTTAAATTTTCTCTACATTACCTCATATACAAAAATCAATTCAGATGGATAATAGACAAATGCAAAAGGTAAAACAATAAAGCTACTACAAGAAAATGTAGAACATTCTCATTACCTTAAGTAGGAGGCAAAGCTTTCTAAAATAAGGCACAAAAAATCTAACCAAAACACACACACACACACACACACACACAGATAAGCTGGACTTTTTTGGTTGGATTCACATACTAGCATCCAGCCCAGTCAAATGTTTTAAGTGATATTTTTCATAGTTTGCCTAATAATTTTAGATGTGTTGAACTAGAAACTTTCCTCCCAACCTGTAGTCTGCTATATTTTTAAAAATCTAGATCAATATCCAGAACTTATTTCTAAGGATTATATAACCTTTATTTGAAATTGAGCCACCTTTCCTCTTTTGAATTAAACTAAGAAATTTTATTTACTCTGAAATCTTTTATTGACTTGCAAGACTGAAAAAGAAATTTTGTTTTCCATCCCCGCTATTTTAGCACCATAGAAAGAGCCATAATACAAACTAAGAAAAACAATGTGGAGTGTTTTTCTTTGCACTGCTGACTATACCATCTCAGATCTTGTATGCATAACTATTCATAACACAAGCTGTGGACAGCAACAACTCCTCTTGCAGAGACCCAAGACCTTTCCTGCCTGCAACTCCCCAAACGAGTTTCATCGCTCTTATAACCCTGAAAATTCTGGCTCTTGTTTGTTTTTTTTTTTGTTGTTGTTATTTTGCAGGGGGTCTGATCTAAGTTTCATTTCTCTTATGAGGAATGTCTATTGTATGATCTGTAAAACTCCAACAGCAAAAGAACACGTGGATAATTTCCCTTTCTTCTATGCTATTCAAAAAGCATATCTAATTCTGGTTGCTTAGTAGCATGGCTGGATAAGTTACAGTTCATGTATTTTGATTATATGTGTTCCACTAAAATATAAGAAGACAAACTTCACTTCTTATTTACTTCACAGATACCTTCAGTTCTATTTGCACAGTTTTTTGTCATCTGATAAGTTTTTCATGGTCGACCAGAAAGTCATCTTTTATGTCATGGTAGATAATTTTTCCACTATTCGTTGGATGCCTCTGAGCCGCCTCCACACATTCAAAATCTTTAAAATTAAACGAGAAGAGAGATGGCAAGATATCAGTATGATGCGCATGAAGATCATCAGTGAACATATTGTGGATCACATCCAGAATGAAGTTGACTTCCTTTTCTGCATGGATGTAGATCAAATCTTCAGAGGAAAATATGGTTTGGAGACTCTGGGAGAGTCAGTAGCTCAGTTACATACTTACTGGTATAAGGCAAATTCTACAGTGTTGCCTTATGAGAGAAGTCAGTTATCAGAAGCTTATATACCTATGGGTGAGGGAGATTTTTATTACCATGCTGCTGTTTTTGGTGGTACTCCCATTCAGGTTCTCAATATTGCCAGGGAATGCTCCAAAGGAATCATGAATGACAAGAAAAATAACATTGAAGCAGTGTGGCATGATGAAAGCCACTTAAACAAATATTTCTTTCTCCATAAACCCACTAAAATCTTATCACCAGAATACTGCTGGGATTTATATCAAAAAAGTACTCCTGATATTAAAAACATTAAACTCTCTTGGGATATTAAGAATTATGAACTTCTTAGAGTGAATGATTAATTTTATAGCCCTTCCTTCATGTTTCTGAATTTAAGGCATCATTTTGTCTTATTGCTTAGAAAATTAGCACTGGATGAATTTTAGCACTAAAAGTTCAACTACCGAAAAGGTAGGCCCACCAACACAACAAACATGCTTTTCCTCACATTCATTTTGAGTCACATAACATGGAACATAGTCATTGTAGAATGAGTTTATTGAAATCAGATGGAGATGTAGTAGTTTCAAACCTTGTATGAATGTTGAAGAAATATTATTTGTTAGATCACACAAGAACAGAATATAAAATAAAACCTGAAACATTTCAATTGATCCAAGAAGATGTAAATTTCTCATATTGCTTAAGAAAAGGGGTTGTTTAGTGGTATGGGGAAAGGAAGATTCTTGCAACTATGCTAATACGACCAGTAGGTAAAACCTTGAAGACATTAAAGCAGCTATTAGATGGGCAGATAGTTACTTAAGAAAATTTGAGTCAGTCAAAAAAATACATATATATTGTTTTACAAACAAATGAAAATAAAATTTATAGAGAGAAAAACTAAAATATGCTATTTACTTTCCTTTTGAAAACCTATCCTTCCATCTTTTGCACAAATGAACAAGCACTTTCTTCCCCAAAGGTGGAACACCAAATACTATCTGACATGGTCCCACACCATATCAGATGTCTAGGATTCCCAGATGATGGAGGATCCCAGCTGTTGGCATGTTGGATATTTAGCAGAGAAGATAGCAAGGCCATTGTTCATGAAAAGAAAACTACCTTACTGAGCCCAGGAACAGGCTCCATCCCTGCCACCAAGGCCACTTTGTACGTAGACCCATTGATGAAGCACTGTGGTATCTACAGAAAGAGGCTGGCTGATCTTGCAGAATTGATTATCTCATTTACTTGATTACTGAGGATTTCCTCTACTGATATTGCTCTTTGGAGAACATTTTCATGGGACACATAAATCATCGCTGTGTGTGCCTATTTCCTAAGTCCATAAAGGACTTCATATTTTTTCACCAATTTTCCAATCTGTCCAAGTTCAATCTCATATAAACTTATAATTCAATGGATTGCAGATGCATACATTCACACTTTTAGTTTGTTCGATCAGAGAGCATTGAATTATTAATGGGTAGGGGAAGAAATAGTTCAAGTACCCATGGATCAAGCATCGGTTCTCTACCTGGCCCATGCAAAGAGGTACAGATCTTGCTGTGTATATTGAACCTTTCATAGAGCCTTCTCTTCAAAATGTGCAGGGTTACCAGGTGCTCAATATATAGGTCAGAGTGGCACACCCAAATACAGTAGATGTTGCCTCCAATATCCAGAGCACTATGCCTCTGAATTTAGTCAAAAGGGGTGCAAGGTACAGGATCTTGTCTAGAGCAGATATGCATACCTGCTACTCAGAAATGTCACTGATGTGTCAGGCTCCTACGTTTTTATGGGCTATATTTGTATTAGCATGACATCTGGGATTCTTGCTATTTTCTACTTAAATGATCCAATTAGCTTGATGTCAACAATCATATCCTGTGAAATGTCTAGATGAGTTCAGTTCTGAGGTTTAAGGTGAAAGCAAACTGATTTTGATAGTCTTTACTAATTGATATAGGAAAACCACATTTATCTGAATACCAACTGCCAGTTGATTTGCTCCAACAAAGATGCTCCTGGAAAAGTAGCTGTAATTGGAGTCACCACTTAATTAACTTTACAGGGATTCACAGGAATTTTCCAAATCCATCTGGCTTCTATATGGCCAAGCAAGTAAGTTAAACAAGGATGTGATAGGAATTAACAGCCTGTTAATTTTCAAGTCTTTAAATGGCAACACTAATCTTTACAAGTGTTAATACTTTTTTTTAAGAGAGAGATAATTTTTTTAATATTTATTTTTCAGTTTTCGTTGGACACAATATCTTTATTTTATTTTATTTTTTATGTGGTGCTGAGGACTGAATCCAGCGTCCCGCACATGCCAGGCGAGCGCGCTACCGCTTGAGCCACATCCCCAGCCCAATACTTTTTATTTATTATCTTAGTAGGAGAGATTTTCCACTGGTTTTCATTTGACTCTTAGCATTTTAGCCCTTACTCCTTGGGACAGACACTATTGCAAATATTCTACAAGTTGCTAGGTATAATATTCCAATCATAAATTCAGCAGTAGATTTTACTTTTATAAATTCTGGGACTTCTCTAAAATAAATTCAGGGCAAATTTTTATTTATCCTCCACTCTCCCTAAGTCTCAATTCTGTTCAGTAGACCACAGTGGCATTTTCAGACTCTAGAAATAATGCTTCAACTCAGAACTAGCATCCATTCTTTATTTTCCTCCAAATACACAGTCATTCTAGTAAGTGACTTGATGTCCTCCCTCAAGTTTAATAAGCAGAAAAATTCTTAGACCCTGTCACAGTTAACTAAGATAACATTAAATGCAGCATCTCAACTCCCCTTTAATCAAAGGACTCATGGTCTGTAAACTGACTTAGTTATAGGAATGTATCAAGAGACCATTTATTATTATTATTATTATCATCATCATCATCATCATCACTCAGTTCTGGGGATTGAACCCAGGGGTGTGCTCTACCACTGAGCTACATTCTCAGCCCTTTTTATTTTTAATTTTGAGGCAGGGTCTCTCTGAGTTGCCGAGGCTAATGTCAAACTTGCAATCCTCCTGCCTCAGCCTCCCCCATAACTATTTGTCATGACAACTCAAGTTAGATTTCCATCTCCAGGCCTAGAGTTTGTTCATTAATATAGTACCCATTGTTCTTATTGAAATTGAAGGCTCATTTCAGAATTTCCCCACACTGATTCATTTCTCAATGACTTAGTGAAGGAAAATGTCCTCAAAGCCTCACCCTCACTGGGGAGCACAGGGTGAAGGGAAATGAATTGAACATAATAAATTCATTCCAACATTCCTGCCTCCCTAAACCTTTGGATTTCTTCTACATTATGCCAGTGAAATTATGACATCTAAACTTCATTAATTGTAGGCTACCACTGAATTCAAATCTTAGTTTAATAATCAAGAAAATTCTTAGACCTTGTCACAGTTAACTAAGATAACATTAAGTCCAGAATCTCAAGTAAGTATACTTGTTTCAATAACTTTAACTGAGTCCAATTTTATATTCCATTCATGTTGGTATAATATCCTTATAATCCATCCTCTTATGGGTTTACATACTAATACACATTAGCAAGAGCTTGAAATTCTTTTATGGTAGTAGCTGTCTCCTAGAGATCAAACCTTAACATGTATTTGACTCCAGATATTTGGTCTACAGGTAATGAGAACAAAAGCCCCTTGGAGATCCAATTATTTTGGATAGGAATAACAAAGCATTTTTAAGCAGGAAAAGTCTTGTCTCCTCAGAAATATATTTCCACTGACAAGGGACACTCCAGATTCATCTGACTCCACCCAAGTGTTCTCATCCCACTTGTAGTCCAAGTCTTTCCAAGTTCTCTAATTTTAACACAAGATACTTTGAGAAGTTCTGATTAACCACATTACACAATTATATTTTTGGCCTTATTCTCAGTTGTATATGCTTTACACACACACACACACACACACACACACACACACAATGGCCCCCAAAATTCATCTGGCTCTGTGTCTATGACTCGAGTTTAAATCTCTATGGATTTCTTAATTCATTTCCAAAACTCCTTTTGCACAATCAGATGCGGCATTCCTTCCCACACATCTTGTACTCAGTATAACCACAACGTGGTGCTACAATACAGCAGCAATTTAGTTCTCAGTCTTCCCTTCAACTGATTCTTCTTCCCAAGTTTCTAGAGATGATAAGGTAATCTAAATAACTGTGATGCCACTATATGCCCAAGGTTTGTAGCAACCCTGTTCTACTTGTAAAAAGGTTTTATGTTAGTCCAACTCAAATGGGTGAGCAACCCAATCCTAAAATCTCATTCTGAAAATCTGATTCTAAGGGTCTTTGGTAAATAGTTGCAAAAATACCATTATTTCCTCTCTGTATCCATAGCCATAAGAGAAAGGGGAATGGATTGAACATAATAAATTCATTACAACATTCTGCATTGCCCCCAGTTAACAGTCAGACATGTGAATACAGGCCAGAAAGCCCCAAGAAACCAACAGATGATTGTAGTTCCATGAGTGCTCCCTAGATAAGATTAAATGAGCCTGGTTCAGATCAACAGAAGCACACAAATGGCCAGACTCATGAAAAAAAATAAAGCATTGTTGCTTCAACCCATTAAGGTTTGGGGTTGTTCGTTTTACAGTAAAAGCTGATTACCAGACCACTTCTGATACTAGAAATTATATCAAGAAGGATGAATCAGAAAATCTGGGTATTTCAAATGAGATATTTTAGTGTCAGAATTGGTTATACAGATGATGAAACTGCTAAGTAATTAAATGGAACAACAAAGAAACTGAGAAGGTATGACAGTCTTAGTGCCAGAAGGACACAGAAAAGCCAAAAGCCAGGATCATCAGTAACTGCAAGGAGTGGAAAGAGAAAGAGGAGATTTCTGCTCATTTCAGCTTCCACACTGAAAAGAAGAATACTGCTGCTTCTCAGATTCAGAGTTATCCCTAAAAGAAAGATGCTCAGATTCTGGGCAACTAAAACATAAAAATGTACATTATGTAGTATGAATGTTTTATGTTTAAGAATTTTATACAGTATGAGCTCTTTTGTGTGCGTGACTTCTTTCACTGTATAATTATTTTAAGGTTCATTTATGCTGTGGTGTATATCAATACTTCACTCTTTATTATTCAATACTATTCTAATGAATGGATATGCTACAGTTTATTTAATCATTCATCTTTTTTTGTCTTGGTGTCAGGAGTAGAATAATCATTCATCTATTGAAGGCTATTTCCAGTTTTTGGCTATTACTAATAAAACTACTATGAACAATCACATATGGCTCTTTTTATAGACATATACTTCCATTTATCTGAATAAATACCT